GTCCAAAGTCAGACAGATCTACATTTCATTTTCCTCCCTGGAAGAATTGCAGCCACTATCTGCTACAGGGAAAGTGAGTTGGGAGACTTCAGTAAACTACATCTAATATAGACAATTAGTGAAATGATCTACGCTTGTCTAACCTTTGCTTATTTAAACAAAAAATCAGTGAGATGAAAAGAAAAACCTATAGACTTTTCAATAATGTGGCATTATTGCTCCACAAATGAGATAATGAGGAAGCATTGATCCTGTTGGAACAGCACAAATACATCCTGACAGACCATGGCTACAAATGGTGCTCTGTTCACCTACTGACCTCCAGGAAGCAGCGTTTTCCAAGGAGGGCTTTTGGAGAAATGGGAACATGGTCCTGGGGTCTAGTGAAAGGTCTGGTATCCAGTTCCACAGTGTGAAAGTATGACCGATTAGTGAAGAGAAAATCAGATCACAGAGCAGGAGGAACCTTGGTCCTCTGCTGTTCTGATAGGAGTAAGTGTCCTTCCCAGGGAGAAGTCATATTCTTCCTATGGAGAAGCACATTGGAGCCCCAGGCCAGCAGCTGGCTGTGATGCCAAAATATGAACTGTATTTACCTGTGTTGAATAGGGGAATATATCTGTTTTCAAGAATCTTTAGTGATACATAGAGCTGTGTAGTGTCATTTAACTGTCTGAGAATTGTTTTCTTCTGTGACAGGCCTGAAAGCATTTCTTCCTTATTCCTTAGAATTTTTAGTTCTTTTCAAGTTATTTCTGTTTATTGTGGGCCAGGGGGGTACCTGGCCTTTTGTAGTCTCTAGTCTGCCAGGATCTGTGGTTTCTTTTCCACTTATCCTCACTAAAGTGTTGTTTCAGTCATCCACCACACTTTCCCCTGAGCTCTCTGATTTTCTGCCTGCCTCAAAGCACTTCCAAAGCAAAAAGCCCATCCATTCATCCCAAGCCCGACATACTGCTGATCCCTGGTTGTGCTGGTTTTATCCCTTCAGAAAGTACAACTCCTTTCCCTCAAATCCCCAAAAGGTCCTTTTTATACCTTTTCTCACTGAATTCCTTGACACAGGTGCCTTTGCTTCTGCAAACCCCCATGGCCACAACCCCAGCCTTATCCTTTGCTGTTTGACACCTCTTCTAGGGCTGGAAGATGGAAGTGTTGGCTGGTATTAAGGCATCTCTGCTCTTTTACTGTTTTCTGTGGTATCATTTATTCACAGGTTTCATCAAGTTGCTTTCTCTTTCTGCCTGAGTCTTATAAAGACAGTGAGTTTTTACAGAATTGGCTTACAATTTGTGAGTGCTGTGTCTGCTTCCCTGCCAGTAAACATCATGAAACCCTTTACATTAACTGATCTCTGCCCTAAAAGCCATTTCCTCACTGCCCTCACAGGAGGGCTGTTCAGGGCTGCACATTTTGGGCGGCTGGAAGCTTTTTTCTGACGTCTTGCCTAACTGAACACGCATCTCCCTGGCTTCCCGCTGCCTGTCTTAAGTTTCTGTATCTCTCCTGCCTCCATGGCAACATTTTCAGGCTGTCATCAGAGCATTGCTTTGCTCTTATTTTGCTCAGCTAACCATGACAAGCTCTTTGAATGTCTGCTTTTCTGTTCCCTTGGCCATCCCTTTGCTGCATCCGCTCTGGTCAGAGGTGTCTTTTCTGTCCACTTAACAGTGAGCAGCACGGGCACCACTTCCAGCAGATCTTGCTAGAGGTTTCTGTTACAATGGTCTGTAGGGGAATAACTTTTTCTGGTTTATAATTTGATTTCATTTAACTTTCCTGTGGGTGGTGACACTCCAGTGGCTGTCCAGGCTAACCAGTGTACAAACAGCGATGAGTTTCCCAAACGAAGAGTTTCCAAATTGCTGCAAAACCACAGCTGATTAGTTCCTGGCATTTAGGGATTTTTCTTAATCAAACCTGGAACCTGTGCTTTTGGTAGTCAGCAGAAAAGCAAAATCTTTCAAAGCTTTGTCCATTTCACCTTCCTCCAAAACACGGAGGCAGAATCCTGGCTTTTCTAAGGATGAAAGGAATTGGGAAAAATTCCCCTAGGCAGTTGAGCACTGCACCTGTAAGGGTATGGTAATGCCTGTAGGGCTTTGGGGGGATATTTTCTTCTGGACTGGGCTAACCAGGGTTGTCCCCACTGTGTAGACACCCCGTTCATGTTTCTGCAGCTCAGTTCCCCTTCCCAAAGGAGTGATGTGCAGTATGGGTGAGAAGACTGCAAGGTAATTTGATGCTGTGATAATGTCAGCACACAGGGAAGTGGGAGACTTACCCTAAAGCATTAATTAAATGTTTTGATGAAATGCTTGCAAAATACTTCATGACACTTCTTTAGATAGAAATTGCTGTAGGAATGTAAAGCAGTGTTAGAAAATGATTTCAGGTGATTGTGTCTGCATCCTGTAGCAGTTGAAGTTCTAGCTACAGAAGCAGGGCTTGAACGACAGCCAAGTCAGTAAAATCAGGATTACAGATACAAATTGCTGCAGACACATACATACAGAAAGAGAAGAGTGAGATTCTTTCAGGACAGAAGACCGTCAATACTTTTTTCGGGATTATGCAATCTATTCAATAGCTTATTTTTCTGGATAGATCTGCTCTGGAGTACTCCCTACAGTCTAATTGGCATGAATGCCCTCAGTGCTCAAATTAATTTTTTCCTAGCAGGGTGAATCTTTATCTCGTCCTTGTCCAGCCAATGCAGCATTACAGGTTAAAACTCAAGTTAATTTTTGTTGCTGTTGAATACCAGACACTGCAGAAAGATAGATAAAATGGTCCCTTTTTGATAATCCTGTTTTCCATGTAAATCCAAGCTAGGAAGGAGATTGTCTTAGATGAGGACAAATTGGGAAGAGCTCTCAGGCTGTCTGATCTCTCTTGTCTGCTTTGCAAAAAAGAATCAGATTAATGAACGTAATCAGATTAAGGCTAAAGAAGGGAACATATCCAGGGGGCATCAGAACTCTGCTGATACCAACAAACTGTATGGAAAATCAACGTTATGGGCCTAACATTGCTCTGTAATTTAATTAATGGGAGCAAATAATGGCTTTCAAAGAAGTCCTGAGTGATGGCAAGAGGAGCTTGGTCTTCCAGAGGGCAAAAAGACCTGAGGGAGCTGGGGAGTGGCTCTAAGGCCCTGGTTTAGGTCCTCTGGCACGGTGGCTCATGGCTAAGCAGTGTGGGCCTTCTTTGGGCACAGGGTTTGGTGCAGTTAAATCTGCCCCAAACCATCTCTGCTCTCAGCCTCACATCTCTGCTGTGTTTTGTGCAGAAAAACAACACTGTAGAAAACAGAGGATACACCCAGAGCAGGCAGAGACAGAGATGACTGAGGTTCAGAGAGACAGGAATGAGAACGACAAAAAGGAGACGTGTGAAAAATGAGGGGGAACGTGGTGAAAACAGAGTTAGAAATAGGGCACAGAAGGGAAAATGATTTATAGAGCAATATTAGACCCTTAATGTTGATTTTTTTTTTTTCCACTGCCTCCAGCAAACCGAGAGCAAGATGCACCACGCCAGGGCAGCAGTGTACTGCTGGGTCCTGAAGTGGCAGCACTCTCACCTGCTTATCTTTAGAGAGCAGGCATTTTAAACTTTTTAAGAGAAAGTAAGAATGTGGTGGAAGTGGGAACACACAGAAGAAAGGGAGAAGAGGGTCAAGAACTTGAGGGAAAAGGGCCCTTATTATGGTTTCTGATCAGATCCATTTTCTGTTTCTTCAGTGCCAACTGTACCTTTCAGGAAATAAAACAGAATTCGATGCTTAAATTCTGCTGGTTGTTACAGACTCCCAGCCTGGGCTGGCGTCAAGGCCAGCACTGGGTTTTTGTTTTCCAGAATGAAGTGTATATCTCCCTAAAAATGCCCAGGGGTTTTCTTGCTGCATTTATTACTTCGTTTGAATTTGAAGTTCTCTGAGACAGTTTTCTGGGGCAACAAATGGGATGTTTGATGAGAGGTCTTCAAGACCAAGAGGTAGAGATGAATGGAAGCAAAAAGAAATATGAGACTTGAAATGGGTGCTGCCCAGTTTTCTAATTTTTATTTTTAAATGTCTGGCTGATTTGTCTAGGAATTGACAAGTTCTGACTGAGGTTTTGTCCCTGTTTGGGATATTTATAAATTCTACCCCCATGTGTCCCCTCTGGATCTATTAAGCTGTGAATGCATATTTTAGCTGTGGCCTTTTATCTGGGGCATGTCAGGTCTCTACTCATCACTGCTTTTCTTGAATTTTTTCGGCATTCAATTGTCTTGGAAACATCTCTGGCTCTCTGTAAAATGTGGCTCACATCAGTTGTTGGGATCATACACTGTCACACAAACAGATCCACAGGACAAGGTTGTTTTAAGCTTTGTTTTCATATAAAGCAAAGCTGAAATTAGAGGGGCAGATGGTGGGGCCTCTGACTTTTTTTCCCTGTGTCTCCCATACTCAGCTGAACAGAGGTTTAGCACCTCTCAAGGCAGTATTTCCTTTTGGGAAGGGTGAGGCAATTAAATGTGTGAGCAAAAAAAACCCAAACAATAAATCTGGGGGAGGAGCTAATGGGTCATCACCCCTGGCTGCCATGAAAGGATGGGAAGACAATGGTGTGGGCTGTGGAAAGGTCTCATTGCAGTGGTGGCTGGCACGGGTCATCCTGCAGAGTCTGCACGCTCCCAGTGAGCTCATGCCACGCTCCCAGGGGTTGGAATTGCAAAGGAGCAGGTGACTGCAGCTACCAGCTGGTTCCCAGGTGACGCAAGAGTGTGCAAATCCAGGCAGATCCCTTGTCAGCACAGTCGTGTGCGTGCGTGTGCAATTTCTAGGCTTAATCTGCATTCTAAAGTGTGTGTGTTGCGTGTGAGCTTTCTGTGGAGCTCTAGAGCATGTGTGTCATGTGAGGTGAGGCCAGAAAAGCAGATGTCCTGGCCATGCCCCTCCTACTCGGGGATTGGAGGTGCTCAGGGGAAGCTGGGACACACCTCCCGGACTCACAGAGACAGCAGCAGCTTCTGCAGGTTCAACAGGCCTCTGCCCTTTGGTCAAACAAAAACCTGCGGCTCCCTTTCCAGCACCCATCCCCTTCTTTTGGTTAACCAGAGAGGAGGAGGATGGCCTATGCTGAGGAAGACAGGTAAGGTGCCGTGAAACAGGGGATGCACAGACATCCTGGCTGGAAAGGGGCTGGTGAAGTTGCATCGCTTTTCCTCACCTCGTTTTCCTCTCCTTCCTACTGGGCACTCAATAAATGTCAGGCAAAGGCTGCTCAGAAGTAAACATCATATTATTGAAGAGGAATCTGGCCATCTGCCTGTGCCAGGTGCTGGTATTATGAAATATGGCAGCGGTAGGTGACCTTGGGAGGGGTTATGGGCCAGGAGAGACAACTGTCTCATGTGGAGAGGCATGGGCTGCGAATACGTATGGCTGCGTGCCCCCAAACCAATGCTTTAGCTGTTCATTGGGATATGTCTGCTTTTTTTTAACGTGGATTTGCTTTCAACCGACCCAGGAGCACAATGAGGGGTGGGGTTTTTCGTGCCATAAAAGATCTGTCACCGGTGACAGTCCTGTGTTTTGCGACAGAGGCGTTTCCGCAGCGGATGACAGCAATCACAATAAAGGGGATTGTGTTTTCAGCTGATCCTGTGATCTAATCCAAAGCGATGCTACTGAGCACTATTATTAGGTGTGCATTGTTGGAGGCAGAGTAGCTGGAGGGGCCTTTGTGCTACATGTATTAATTCAAGCTGTCAAAAAGCTCACACGGGCCTCGTGCTCACGCGGTTCCAGGCTGAACAATGTGGTGGGTGACCCACAGATCGAGCTCCCCCTCTGCTCCTGCTGTGCAGGTATCTCCCTCGCAGTCAGAAATTATCAGTGCTCGCCAGCCCCTTTGATGTGTGCATCTGGAAGGCTTCTGAAAACCAAATACTGCAGGCAGATTAATTTTGGCGTGGCTGTGCTCTCAGCACTAGGGACAGCTCTGACGTGCCCAAAGCCTTTGGGATGGACAGGGCTCTGCCAGGCCCCTGCACGCCGGCTGGAGCTCCATCCAGGCAAGGAGACATGTGGAGCACTGGAGTTTTAGTTCTTTGGATAAGAAGTATTTTAATATCTTCTGTTTAAGAAGAGAAAAAAAAAAATCCCTGGAACTTGGCACAGCTCAGTCAGTCCCGATATCTTCAGCAGACATCAAGTGATTCATCCCGCACTCCTAAAATTTCTGAGGATGTAGGAATAATATCCATTCTTTAATGTTATTTTGCAAGGGTGTATGCACCTTTTTAAAAAAAAAAAATATGGAGACAAAGGGGATTATGGTCAAGAGGAAGAGCAGATCCTGGTGACCTCATTCTTTTCTCATGCCTGCCACAGGTATGTCAAAAACTTGGGTATTACATATAAATTCTCTTGGTTCCCTTGAATTTCTAAACAAGGATTACAGTTATTCAATGGAGAGATTGGGTGAAATTGTTCATTAATGTATGTAAAGCACTTTTAAAGCTTTTGTCTGGGAGCAAGCGATAATATAGTCAAGTGTAGACCTCATTAATGTCATTTTCACAGCTCCTGCTTATTTCAGGAGCTCATGGTACACTTGGAAAATTCAACAATATGTGACGGTAAATAAACTTCCTCATTTCCAGACTTTTCCTTCGAAAAGTGTTTCAGCTAAGTAGGCCTCTTCATTTTAATCCATGTATATGGAAGTTATTTCTTCTTATTGGATTGCAGGTTTATTATATTTTCGGGCATTTTTGACATCACAGTTTGTAACTGGGAACATAAATCTGTTGTGCAACACATTGGACAGGACTTGCAGTAGGAGCTGGACAGCTAGGAGAGGAGAAGCTCACAGAAAATATCTGTGCAGTAGCTACCTACCCTGTCAGTATAAAGGAAGAAAAACCATAGACTTGAGATCCTCTATTTCAGTGTCTGATACCTCAGTTGGACGACTCAGTTGTACACAGGCAGTCAAATCCTCTTAGTCAGTGGCCTGACACCTCCTGGAGTGAGGAGCACCACTGTGAAAGCTTTTCTGTATATCCTCTAAGGCTGCAGACAGCAGCATCACAACATTACTGAGGTTCACACCTCTGGAAATCAAGAGACTTGGTTAAAAAAAAACCAGAACCAAAAGATAAACATTCATGAAGCAGACGGTGAGTGCTTATCAGCATCGCAGGTGATGTAAAATTGACTGGAGGCCTCGCAGTGTCTGATTCTCTCACCTCTCAATAAGCAGATCAGCTTCTTATATAGAGAACCTTTTTACCCCTGCCTGCGTTGGTTCACTCCAGGACCTCGTCCTCTACCTTGTGCAGTCATTAATTCTGCTCATCAATGGTAACAATCGAGTTGCTACCAAGAACTGCTGTTGGTGCCCCTGCTTTTGAGGAGAGTTTCCGATCGACCTTGGTATTGACTTTCAGGAGGTATCTGCATTGTCTTGTTGGAAACAGGATTATCGGATTATTTCCCTATTGATCGCGTTTCAAAACTGTGATTAAAGCACCTGAATACTGGGCTAAGAGGTTAAAAATTGAACTTCTCTCCCCTCCCCTGAGACAGCTGCACGACTGTACAGTGTACACACTAATGCCAGCTTCTATCCCACCTTCTGGCAGGGGGGCTCAGTGCTGGATAAGACTTTTCTTGCCAAGGTACTGGAGCAGTCCCCCTCTTAAATCAGCATAAACTCTGGAGCCCAAATTCCTGGTTTTCACTTGTTTTGATGTAGACTGATGTCCTTGGGCCTCTTGCCTAGGACTAGGCTGTGCCCCCTGCCCACTCTGCGGGAGAGAAGAGGCCGAGTGAGATCTCCATGTTTATCCTCCTGTGCTGAAGGCACGAGGGATCGAGGAGGTGGGTGTTTGAGGTGTGGTACCAGGCCCTGAAGGAGGCACTGGGAGCTGATGGCACTCAGCGCTTACAGAGATTGGCTCCTCCATCTCTGTAGGTGATTCTTGCCCCATGTCTCAGTAGTCAGGCTACTGCAGAGGACAGTGTCTGCTTTTTCATCAGCCCAGCACTCCAGCCATGCTGTTCAGGTGCCTTTGGAGTTCCATCCTCTTGGATTTCTCCATCACAGGCTGCACATCCCCGTGCACACTCATATAGTTTGCAATTTCTCAGTCTAACTGTGCTTTTGCCTTCCTTCAGTAACTCTGGAAAGACCAGAGCCCATCAGAAGCAGGAGTGGTTATGCCTTGTGACATTTCTGTGATCTAGGTATCATTAGCCATTCTTCAATGACAGAATGAAACCGGCAAAGATGATTCAAATGCCTTCCCTGGGTATATACATGAGATTAAAAGCGATACATCTTCAATAATAGCAGTGAAGCTTCTATTATTATAGCCTTAATGAAATTTCCTTTTCTTTGCACCTTTTCAGGACTTGTATCCTTTGAAGCTTGTTCTTTGAATGGGTTGATAGTCCCCCTGACCTGTTTTCCTTCTGCAGAAACAGCTATGAGGTGTACAAGGAAACAGCAGATTGGTTACGTGCCCGAACCGTCCAGCGCCCAAAAATCGCCATCATCTGCGGATCCGGACTGGGAGGCCTGGCTGAGGTGTTGGATAACAAGACAGTCTTTCCCTACGAGGACATCCCTCACTTCCCACGGAGCACAGGTCAGCACAACCCCAGGGCACCAGCGTCCCACCCCTGGGCAGCCCTGCAGCACAGCCTCACACAGATCACTGGAGTCAACGTGCACCGCTTGGCATCGCCCTGCACGCCAGTCCCTCGGTGCTGAAATGCGTGCTCAGAGTGAAAAAACATAAACACCATAGCACAGAAATATGTGTTTATTTATTTATTCGGCTCCCAGCGCCTGCTCTCGCTGCAGAGCAAAGCCATGGCCTGGCAGACCCCTCTGAAGCCCCAAGGCCTTGAGACTTGTGAGTGAAGTGACGCTGTGTTGGTTTGCAGTTGCAGGGCACGTTGGCAGGCTGGTGTTTGGGGAGCTGAGCGGGCAGCCCTGCGTGTGCATGCAGGGGCGTTTCCACTCCTACGAAGGCTACTCTGTCAGCACGGTGAGTCCTCCTCGAGGAAAACACTCAGGCGGGGGGAGTGTAAAAAAAAAAAAAAAGGGCAAAAAAATGCAAAAGCGACTGCTTGCTTTGCTGTGTAGATGCACATTTTTAGCTCTCACCATGAACTTGCGTTGCTCTTGAAATCGGTCTTTCTTAGATTTCAGATTTCTCCCCGGAAAATAAAATTGGGAGTTCAAACCAAGAGGCTTCTGCTGGGTGAAGGTGATGCTGTGCAGCCACACAAATTGGCTAACCCTGTTATACTTGCAGGGGAAAACAGTTTATCATACAAGGCAGATTAATTTACATTCTTTAACTCAGGCAGTTTAATCACGATTTAAATCAGCAACCAGAAAACTCTGATAAGAATAATCTATTTTAATCTTCTTTTGCATTTGTATAGTTTACAGCTTTTTTTTTTCCCCTAGAAAAAACTCCCTGGCTACTGCAACTTGCTGTACCCTCCCAGCTAACATATAGGAGTGTGTGGATAGTTGCATTTATGCTGCCTAACATACACATATGTACATTTCTGTTAGAAAACACCAACAATATTTACTCTCTGACAGTGTTGTGTGTTCTTTTTTCATTTGGATAGCTTTGAGATTTTCCAGGTGGCTGAGGTTGATTTGTGTTTGGGTATAAACTGCAACATTTGGCACCACTCAGCTTTTTACAGAAAAACAACTATTTTAAAATCACTCAATATGTAACTAGTTTTATCAAGACATGTTTGTCTGAAAGAAGTGGTGTCCACAGTTAGGAAATTTTCTGCTCACAGCTCCTCTAGCACTTGAGAGGGAGCAGCTATCATCCCAGTTCCTTTGTGACTCCTCAAAATAAAACTGTTAAAATTTTTTTCCGGTTCCCAATTTTTCCTTAACTTTGGATTGCACTCCAGGGCTATATGCATAAGTAGTCACTTCAGTCAGCACAGTGGTTTGATCTCTGCAAGACCTTGGCAGTGAGGAAGAACTATCTGCATGTTCTTTCTGTACCACCTTCATTTGACCTTAGCACAACTGCAGGAAGTGTGGGCTTGGATTTTAATGGTGTTCATTACAAGATTAGGTTTTAATATGTTTAAAAACCATTAAAATTCTGTTTAGATTAGAGGAATGTTTAGAATTGGAGAAAGTTGGTTTGTCTCTGTATATAGACCCTTCTTTGCACCCACCAATTGTGATACTACAAATGCAGTAGCAGTAGCTGTCTGTTGGCTGTGATATTCATTGCACACGTGCCTTTGGTTCTTCCAGGTCACCTTTCCCATCAGGGTCTTCTTTCTCCTGGGAGTGGAGATCTTGATTGTCACAAATGCTGCTGGAGGACTGAATCCCCACTTCCAAGTGGGGGACATCATGTTCATAAGAGACCACATCAGCTTGTTTGGCTTGGGAGGGCAGAATCCACTGCGTGGACCAAATGATGAGAGGTAAAAAGGCATCAGCTCCATGTTACCAATTAATCCTTTCTTCCTCCAGCCACAGGCTGGGGCTGCCTGTTGTGCCTGCTGACAGATATTTACTGAGAGTAGAGTCTGGCTCCAGGTATGCACAAGGGAAGAGTTAAAGCAATAGCTGTGTGTGCTGTGCCACCTGCCCTGCCCTCCCCAAGCACCCTGCCTTGGCTGTTGCTTACTCTTACAAGCCCAGAAGGTTCTGTGCCATGCAAGTAGGCTTCTGATCCTCTCCTGACATGACCAGCTGCACCATCTGCCAGAGACCCACTGCTGTCTCTTCTTGTCAGCCCCTCTCTCTGCTGGTTCCTCTTAATTGAGCAGTTGGTGAACTGCAGTGTCCCCAGCCTGTGTTTACCAACAGCCATTCCTGGTGTGATGGAAGGGGTACAACAGAGGCCAGGCAGTGAGAGCAGGGCAAAGATAAAACCTCTGATCTCCTGATAACCACACTTGTATCCAGGCTGTTAAACTGGGGTGCCATTGTTAACAGAATGGATTCATTGAAGGCATTGCTCTGATGAGAGGAGGTTGTCTTGGCAGCTTCTTCAGAGACCTCTAGATCTACGAGAGTGACCTGCTGCTGGTTGAGCTGGGAAGTCAGGTTTCCTGTACTGGCTGTGTAGCAGAATCTTTACCCTGTGGCCAGTGCAGAGAGGGGCTTCCAACATATCCTCACCCCAGACTGCAGTTGCCACTGGGCATAAAGTTGCTTTGAGAGGGATTTTGGACTAGGAGACCTTGAGGTCCCTTCCAACATGAATTTATGATCCTAAAATCCTTCCAAGACACCACCAGTCTGGTAGGGTGGAAGGCAACCAGGATGAGCAAGGTCATGCCACTGAGAGGTTACATTCCAGGTGAACCAGTGCTCACAAAGAGAAGCCCTTTGGCTCTCAAATGGGGCTAAAAAGAGTGAGGACACGTCCACTGGAGATCCAGGCTGAGCAAAGGAAAGCACATCAGTTGTCAGGAAAATACACATGGAAGCAGTAAAGATCCAGTGCTGTCACAAGCAGAAAAGGAAGAGGCCAGATTGTGACAAGGAGAAAATGGGAGCAAGAATTATTTCCTAACGAAGCTGGCAGGAAAGAAGACTAGAAGACAGCCAGATATGTGAAGCCAGAGGACAGGCTGGTGAAGGAGGTGGTAGTTTATGAGCAAAGAGTGAGTTCAGATAATAAGATGGTTAAATCTGTTGTTGGGTTGGTACCTTCATCCTGAAAAATGGACATGTTTGCCGGGCAGGCATCTGGATTGTCCTTGGATCTTTCCAGAGAGAAAGTTCTGCTGAGAATAAGGTGGCCTGCCTGGCTTTCCCTTAGTTAGTTCCTTCCTGATATAACAGCAGACCTGGCTCCTGCTTGTGAAGAGTCTGAAAGGTGCTGGCAGCTGCCTCGGGAGAAATAACCAGTGTGCTGCGATTCCATGGCGAGAGGACAGTAGCCATCTGAAGTGGAACATCTTTACATCTTTGTAGGTAGTGCTGTGGGTTGGAGGAAAGAATGATCAAAAGCAGAGAAGCCACATGGAGTGTTTAAAGCTCTCTGGACTTGCATAATTGCTCTGGAGCAGGAGGAGAAACGCCAATCAAACAACTGCGTCTGGACAATGTTCAAAGGCAGCAGAGCTGCCTCATTGCCTCCCAAAGGCAGCTTCCTGGTGAAGACTGCAGTGCTCTGGGAGGTGACTTTTGCACTGCTGACCAAGGCATCAAAATGGGCAAAAGGTCTTTATGAATCAGGTTTCAAAGTATTGCAGAGCTTTAGCTGAGCAAACTCCTAAAATCCTGTCCAGCTGAGCTACCAGGAAGGATTTATCTAAGCACAACAGAGCAAAACCAGAGGCAATGAAGTGATGTGGAAATAATATTTTTTTAATAAATTAGAGATTGGCTTCTGCATTGCTGGCCATCCTTCAGGAAAGGGAAGCAATTTTCATAGTGATGAATACTTATTGCCTTTGACCAGAAGGGAAAGTTTGTTTTTATTTATATAATATTTATTGTTTATAAAAACAAAATAAGCCACCTCCTGCCCTAAGCATTCAGCTGGAAGAACATGTAAACAAGCAGGAGCTTTAATAGCCTAAATGAGGGACCTGGTCCACTCCTGCTGAACTGCACTGGTGAATATGGCTGGGAGTTTATTTTCCAGGTTTCCTCAGTGGCAGCATAACAATCTTTGCCATCTACTCTGCTCTCCATGAGCCAGTAGAAAGATTCACTCCATCAGGAGCAGGACTGAGCTGTTATCTTAAGACCTAAGGCAAGCAAGACACCCAGCCTTGAAGCAGAGGATGAAGGCTACCTAAAATATGGCCCTGGAGCTCCAAGATGTTAGGAGCTGCCTGCTGGGGTGGGCCTGCTGGGGTGCTCCATCAGGGCCTGCTCAAACCCCCTCCCTGGGACAGCCTGTGGGACTCTGTGCCTCAGGGAGCCCAAAGGGCAGCAACTGTTTGGTGGACAGTGTTTAAAAGTCACTATGAGCAATTACTGGGGAGAGAGAGAACTGGCCATCAGTGCTCCCTGGAGACAAAAGGAATTGATTGACCATTTCAGGAGGGTTTGTGCAGTAAATAAGCAGCGTCAGACCTTCCAACAGCCATAACCTCTGTGTGCTGAGAGTTTTGGGTGATTAGATCTAGCAGAAATGTCATGCCCAGAGAGGTGGTAGATGCCCTGTTCCTGGAAACATTCAAGGTCAGCTTGGACAGGGCTCTGAGCAACCTGATCTAGTTGAAGATGTCCCTGCTCACTGCAGGGGTTTGGATGAGATGGCCTTTAAAGGCCCCTTCAAACCCAAACTATTCTATGATTCTCTAATTTGAGAATGATCTGATGATAAGGGCAGAATGAGAGAGGCTGCCCTGCCCTTGACATTTCCCCTCTCCCCAAAGGATGAGCACCCCTGGACTCCGACGGGGGGGGGGGAAGGTCGCGGTGTCACACGGCTGTGTCCTTTTACTGCCTTGCAGGTTTGGGGTGAGGTTTCCCTGCATGTCAGATGCTTATGAACAGGATCTGCTGGGCCTGGCAAAGGAGAGTGCCCAGGAGCTGGGCTTCCTGAGCTTCACCCGGGAAGGAGTGTACTGTGTGCTGGCCGGGCCCTGCTACGAGACCGTCGCCGAGTGCCGGGTGCTGCAGGCGCTGGGAGCCGACGCCGTGGGTGAGCCCGGGCTGGGCTGGCAGGGTTGGTTGGGCACATGGTTATACAGTTAATTCTACTCAAGGCTGACTTGCTTCAGTGTTTGAGTCTCTTAAGTCTCCTGGGGCTGGAGGAACAAGCTCTGTGTGTTTCTGCTTCGTTCTGCAGTGGCTTAGTGCAGCTCCTTGGGTGGATCTGCAGAAAGTCCCCGTGCTTACGGCTGCCCAGGGCAGGGATGCCAGCACAACATTGTGTTTGTTTCCCAAACACAAGTCTCTTATGCTCGGATGGCTCCACTTCACCAGAGCTGAGTGGGGCCCAATCAGAAAGAAAGTCTTTTTCTAATTTTTTTTTAAATTCTGACACCGTGAAGATTTTCACTGTGCTTTCTCCCTACAAACCAGCCCTCCATAAGAGTCTCGTTTAGGAACAGTAATCATGGATACCTTCCCAACTATGCACAAGGAAAGTAAGGGCCATGATCCATGTGATTCCTCCAGCTTGGCCCCCGGCTCGTGGAAGTCTGTTCATTAATACTTTGCAGTTTCATTGTGTGTGAGGAAAGGAGCTCAGCTCCCCTCAAAGCCGTTTTTCTTTGCAATAGGTTATTTAGCTGGGGAAGAGAAGAGCCAAATGACACAGCACATCAGTACTTCCCTCAGCAAGGCTGCAAGCAGCCTGACACGTCTTGAGGAGGGAGCTGTGGCTCAGGGATCAAATGCAGGAGGTTTATTGTGCTGAGCAGAGTTGTAACTGTAGTGCTGCAGCAATTTGAGCCTTCTAAGTGTCACAGCCTTTAACTATTGCAGGGCTCAGGAACAGAGAGGTGGGGGGAAGGAGACAAGGGCATGTGCTTTGGAGGTAGGATCGTGGTTTGCAGCCTTGGAGAGATTTTGTTTGGTGTAAATCCCGACTCATTCTGGTCCTTTCCTTTCCCACCACAGGCATGAGCACTGTCCCAGAGGTGATTGTGGCCAGGCATTGTGGCCTCCGAGTCCTTGGGATCTCCCTCATCACCAACAAAGTGGTGATGAGCTATGACAGCCAGGAGAAAGCCAACCACGAGGAAGTGCTGCGCGTCTCGGTGGTCCGGGCTGAGGCCCTGCAGAAACTGGTCACACACCTCCTGGGGAAGTTGGGGGAAAGCACAAACTCCCTGTGACCCCCCAGCCATTCAGCATTCATATCCTAACGTGTGAACACTAGCAAGTGCTGGGGGAGAGCCGTTGGTGGGACTGTCCCCTTCTGCTCTCCTCCCTTTGAATAGACCTCTTTATCTTTGTGCTTTGTCTGAACAGGTGCAGAGGTTTGCTTTGAATCCTGCCAGAATGATCCCCTTGTTAGTAGCCAGTGGCCAAAGCAGGTTGCTGGCACTTAAACACTCTGGCACATTCCCAAGCCCCAGTGTTAGCAATGTGAGCTCCAGCTCCCCCTCGTTCTGTCTCTCTTGGCACAACACCCTCCTGCCCGAGCCTCTGCTCCCCCATGCCACAGGAGCCTGTCAGCAGTTGGTCCTGGGGCTTGGTGCCTGCTGGCCTGCTTTGGTGGGGCCTGGTCTGAAGCCAGTGGAAGTCCACAAGAAGACTCTGGATTTTGGATACATGAAACGGGCCAGGCTAAAGGTGAGATCTGCCTGGAACAGGCAATGCTGCAGAGCAAGTGAATTGCAATTGATTTTACAGCTTGGAAAACCACTGCATTCCCATGCATGGGGTTGTGCTCCCTTACCATGCCAGATGGACTCTCAGAAAGTCCCAACTTTGCTCATTCTTGGCCTCTCATGACCAGCTGCAGAGCTCAGTAGCTGTTTGCTACAATTCAGCTCTCCCCCAGCACCCCTCACACCTCTCTGCTCTGTCTCAATTTACAGGGGATGAAAATGCAGCCCAACAACAAGGCATGACCTATCTGTGCACCATGTAAACATGGCCAAAACAGAAATCCAGGTCCAGCTCTGCCTGGACGTGTTCTTTTTGTTTCTGGATGTCTTGGAGATCAGCAGCTTGAGCACTGGAGATTGGTTCCCTGTTGGTGTCACAAGACAGAGAGATCAGTTTGACCCAGTGTTTCACAACAGCTTTGCTCCAGTGCTGCTTCTCCTGCAGCAGATGTTGGAGCACCAATGGTCTGAGGAGTTTAATAATGTGAAATTACAGTGGAAATATTTTGGAGCAGGTGTGATATTTTTCTGGCTTTCCAGGTCCTCTTACATAAAGAAGTTGAGCCAAGCAGTGAGCAAAGGACAAACAGGAGAGGCTCTCTTTTACCAGTGTGCTGATGGTCTATCAAGGAAGGGGAACATTCACCAGAATGGTGCATTATTCATTGTTCCTCAAAGGTCAGGCTGAGCCGTGGATGCAGCTGGATGTGAAACAGTGACTGTAATTATTAGATAACCTTTTTCCCTTCATTTATCTTGGAGTTCTCTATAAAGCCCATCATGGTCATAGTTAAATGTTTTCAGTTGACTCACTGGTCTGAACTGAAGACACCCAACTGGTCATGGAGAGCTCCCAACCTGCCTCCCTAAATTTAGCTGATCAGTTGTTTACCACTGACGCTTGCCCTCCGTCACAGCCTTCAGCCTTCCTTGACATTTCTTCCAGGTTTTTTTTCCAAATGGGTATTTGCTTGAAGCCCTTCATGCTGCAATTACTGGTGTTGACTGCAGCATCCGTGGTGCAGACATTGCCACCAGGAGGAACAGCTGTGCCTTGAATGTCTTCCATGAAATGACAGCACTTCAGGAGTGGGGGAGATCTTGGGTGACCGCCCCGTCCCCTTCTCTTCTCGTGGGCAGGGTTACCTGTGCTCATTCCTGACAAATATCTGCCCAGCCTGGTCTGGAGGACTTGTGGAGGGGGAGGATTCATTGCTTGTGCTTTTCTGGCAGAGTCACTTGTTCAGCAGCTCCTGGTTCTTGGAGGAGCCCTCAGAGACAGCAGCTCTTCCCATTTGGTGGCTCTGACTGTCAGGGCAGTCTCGAGGACCAGCTCTGGTGGTTTTCTGCAGAGGGGGAGAGACTCCAACTCCGTCTTCCACAGGGCTGTTGCCTTTTCAGATCTAGCAGGAGTGAAGTGCTTGTCACGTGGGGCAGCACAAGCAGCGAAATACGAAAAGTGCCAGATGCGCAGAGCAGGGAGGAGCCACTTCTACCTGCTCCCTTTTCAGACTTGCCTCAGTATGGGCTTGCTACAGGGCAGGGAGAGAGCAGATGATTTCCCCTGCCTGGAAAATGGTGCTTCACATTCATCTAATTAATACTTGGTAAATACAAAGTCTCTCAAGTGGGAGTGGAAGGCAGCTGTGCAGCTCGCTGTAGCAGGCAGCAGCCAGAGTAGCTAAGGCTGGGATTTCAGCAGGCTCCATTAATTAATCAGAGTCAGGCTGGGCTGTGATGTTGAAGGGAAGCATCCAAAAAAACCTGCTGTTGTGCTGGTGCTTTTCAGGCGGGGTTTGAGATGAAGAGGGGCTTGGCAGCAGCACCTGCTTCCAGCAGGCTGGGCCTGCTCCTCTCTGCAGCTGTACCGGAGGCAGATCCCCTGCTCTTGTGCCTGAATGCGGCTTAAATGCGACTTAAAATTGAATCTGAAAATCACCCTGCAACTAAACCTTGGGCAAATTATGTCTTTTTTTTTTTTTTTTTTAAGAAATATTTTCTAAATAGCGTTTGAGCCCCTAAACAGTTTGGGGCTCTTCTTTCTGCTGCTCGGGGTTGGCTTGGATGGCCCAAACTCTGCGTGAGTGTCCTCATTTTTGTCCCTGTAAGTGATGAGAGGGAAGATGCCCTGGGCACTTTGGAAAGGATCTTATTCATGCTTTATGGGGGAGAGGGAGAATACAGTTAACAGAGTGGGCTCGTCTGGCTTTGGAGATACTTTTAATACAATTTTTTGAGTTTTTTTAAGTGCCGATGAATTTCAAAAGTCTGAAATACAATGGTGCAAGGCAAGAAACTGAGGGAATAAAACCTGCTGTGATCCTGAAAACAGTGTTTTTGTTTGCTGTGCCAAGGCCGTTGTGCAGAAAAGAGGGAGGTGCTCAGCACTCCTGCACTCAACCCCAGGCTGGAGGATATCCCTGGGGGACCCCACAGCACCACATCCCTGGGGAGCCAGAGCTCAAAGCTCTGGATAAGCAGGACCAACGTTTGACCAGCACTTTGGGCAGGTATTTCTTACTGATCCCACCAGGCTGAGGAACTTATGGAAAAAATACCAAGAACCGAAGGACCTGGACTAACTTTTGAGCAGCTGGAAGGTGTGGTGGGCTGTAGTGGTGCCAGTGCAGCAAGTCACCGTGTGTGCTGGAGGCAGGACACGGGTTCCTTGGTGCTGTGCCTTTTGTTTAGTACTCTTGGTGCTTTCTGGCCACATCCACGGCTGAAATGAGTAGGTTGTGAAACAACTTTGGCTTTCTTCATTCCTGTCCTCTGTGCCCCTTACCTACTTCTGCAGCCCAGGGCATTATGGTCATAGGGATAAGCTGGAAGATGCACAAAAAGCTAAAAAACCTGACAGGTGGTAAAAGAGCCCCAGATTCCATGATGATCCTGGCTGGATTGGGAACACCACCAGCACGGGCTGTCTCATGTGGTTCTACCTGTGGCAGGGGGATCCATGGAAAACCTGTGTCCATGCAGGGCACAGCTGGCACAGCTCCTCCTTTACTCCCTCACAGCCATGGATCCATGAGCCAGTCTGGCCCATCTTCTCTGCCAGCCTTTTCCTTTTCCTTGCTCACCGTTCCAGAGAAAGCTTTTTGGATCATGAGTTCCTGCTGCTTCCAGTCCCCTGGAGAAGGTGGAGGTGTTATATGGATGTGAGATCCACATGAAAGTGTGAGGCCAAGAGGAGAAATCTCTGCCAGAGCCCTTTGCTGGACCGTATAATGAGTGTTTAAGTAGAGATCTCTGCTGTTATCTGCAAAACAACCTTGCAACCCCCAAAAATTGGTGATGTGATCCATCCTGTTTCCTTTGCAAGGCTCAGTTTTCCAGACTTCCTTTTACATGAGGTTTGCCTTTTGCGTTCTTTCTTATATAAAAGTAAATCAGAAAGCTTTTAAAAGCCTGTGCTGTCTGCCTCAGCTCGGCAGCGAGCGTGTGCCTTGCCTTCAAGTTATCAAAATTCCCTTAGATGTTTCTCTTTATTGAAATCCTGCAGCTGAATTAAGGGGGTTCTGCTATAGTACTGTGTTGTTCGGGTTTTTTCTGAAAGCTTTAGGTCTTCACTGCATGGATTTCATGTGCTGAAAAGAATTAAACTCTTGCCTGCCACAATGAATGTGGAGAGCAGGGGGGGAGTGATGTGGGTCACGGCAACAGGGCTGATCTTGGAGCATTGCTGAATTAAAATCTGACTCTCTCAGCAGCATGGTGGGCTGCAATTTCCAAAATCTGATGGCATGTTCAGAGAGAATCATAAAATATCCTGAGTTGGAAGGGACCCACAAGGATCATTGAGTCCAACTCCTGGCCCTGCACAGGACAACAGGAATCACACCATGTGCCTGAGAGTGTTGTCCAAACACTCCTTGAACTCTGTCAGACTGGTGCTGTGACCACTGCCCTGGGGAGCCTGTTCAGTGCCTGACCACCCTCTGGGTGAAGAAACTTTTTCTAGTATCCAACCCAGGAAGTAATTTAAGAGCTGGGACGTGGGTGAAGGCTGGAGGGAACCATCCAGCCTTTTCTCCTGCAGAGGGGACACGCCCTGTGCCCAGACACTCCTGTGGGAGATGGCTTCAAACAGAAGAACAATCATCACTTGCTTTCCTTGCCTGAAGCTTCACAGCCCTCTCTAGAAGTCTTTCTCAGCCTTAGCAAATCCCTTCCTGCAGCAACGAGCCCCTTTTCCTGCTGGCAGCTTGGGGAAGTATTTCCCCAGAGAAGGCAGGGAGTGCACCCAGAGCCCAAATTTTGCTCCCAGGTCCCACCTTGGACCAGCCTTGTCTCTTTGTTAGCAGAGACCTGGGCATCGTGGAGCAGTGGGACTGTGATGGGCTGGTGACTCAGAGCCACCCCTGTGCTGGGGCTCTGCTCCCTGTGGAGCAGAAGATGGACCAGTGTCAGGTACCTGTGCTGCTTCTCTCCCCAGCCTGGGCACAACTGGAGACACATCCCTAAACCCAGCCCTACAGAGGCAGTGAGTGTCCCCTCTCAGCCCCCAGGAAAAAACTGCTCTGGAGGGAGGGGGATAGAAAAGCAGTGGGCTCGGCTGGGGAAAATTGCTCTGCAATAATGGGAAAAAGAATGTTTTTTTGGGTCTAATCTCTGTGCCAGAGCTCAGGAAAT